TATTTAATATTTATTTGCTTTTCATAGCTTGATAAAATTTCAAATGCTTATAGGATCCCAGCAAAGAAATATGCTAACAATGATGGAGATGCCTAGCATTTTCACTCCTGAAGACCAGTCCTTCACTTTCTACGAGGGTCTCAATCAGCATCCAGATCCTGCTTTCAAGGATAAGATAGTCGCAGAGCTGGGATGTGGCAATGGTTGGATATCCATCGCGCTTGCAGAAAAGTGGTCTCCGTTGAAGGTTTTCCCCCTCTTGCTCTGTGGATATTTTATCTTACTACCATTATTACAGAAGTGGGAGCTGCCACAGTCAGACATTATTGTTACAGAAGTGGGAGCTGCAGCAGTTAGATATGTTTACTCCGATTTCATGATACACCACTTTCTAGACTTTCAGTAATCCACCAACAGTCTAACTTGCTTGGTACATCTGAGGAAACAATATCCGTTGACATTATTTCCTCCAAGTTTTAAGCAAGGAACTAGTCTATATACACTACACATTATTCTTACCATGTTGAACAGTCTGTCCTTTGAAAGGGATAAGAGGAAAATAACATGAAATTAGTTTTGAGTCGCACATGCCAGTTAACTGAATTACTTTGTACTTAGCTCGACATTACCATAATAGACCAGGAATTTGTCTCCGTCAGAACCCAAGCTGAGCATTGTTTGTTTCTTTGAAGGTCTACGGTCTGGATATTAACCCAAGGGTTATCAAGATTGCATGGATAAATCTTTACTTGAATGCACTAGACGACGATGGTCTTCCAATCTATGATGGGGAGGGGAAAACATTACTTGATAAAGTTGAATTCCATGAGTCTGATCTTCTTGCATACTGTAGAGACAACAAGATAGAACTTGATCACATTGTTGGATGCATACCTCAGGTATGGTCAGTTACTATATTTGGTGAAACAAAATTATATTAGACCAGGACTGATGGAAAATTCTTACTCCCACAATCTGATTTTCAGATTCTTAATCCCAATCCAGAGGCCATGTCAAACATTATCACTGAAAATTCTAGTGAGGATTTTTTGTATTCCTTGAGAAACTACTATGCTCTTCAGGTGAGTTGGAAGACACATTTTGCATCGTTATCACTTGAGCCACTCAGTTTAGCTAATGACAATGGCGTCACGTTGTCTTTCTATCTGGAGTAGGATCAAGAGTGAGCATTTTTTTTGCCGTAATTACCACCTTGTTATAACCAGATTAGAAGAAACAAAATGTGTTTGGAACATGTCACTTACTTGTTGGTGTGTATTTCTACCCCTTATATGATAAACGAATTTTTAGAAGTAATATGTGATTTGTACAACTGTACTGATACCTTGGTTCCACCAGTATAATTAATTTAACTTCGGATGGTTTGAAGGACAGCTAGCAGTCTACATAGACAAGGGCCACTAGACTTAACGATGGATATAGTAGGACGTATACAATGGTGCTATCTTAGGAGTGCCACGTAGGATAAATGCCGAGGTGGAGGAGAGATAAACTAGAAAAAAGGCTGGCCTTCTTTTAATTAAGAGGCGATCTGTTAGCAACGGTATCTCTCGCCACATATTTAGGTTCATCTAGTTATTACTTATTAGAGATAAGACTACGAGATAACCCATTACATCATATTTTCATTGCCATCTCTAAATTACATGTCAGGCTTACCGAAAAAGGCTTTCGCCCCGCTTTATATATAAAGCAAACCGCCCAAGCCACAAACAGGTAAACGAGTTCAGTCACAGCACGCCCAAGGCGCGGAGGTCCAACACACACACAGGCACGACACAAGGTACCAGGGTTAATGCTGAGGGCACAGCTCAACAAGCCCAAAGAAAGAAAAGAAAAAAGGAGACCGGCACACCGGAGACATCTGGACGCCTAATCTGGCTCTGGGGGAGGCGGCGGAAGCGGAGGCGCCACACGGAAGGCCATCGCTCGAATGTCGGAGATGAGAGTGTTGATGGCGTTCCGATCCTGGATGCGGCTAAGCGGCCGCCAGAGTTGCAAGAAACCACACATTTTAAAAATGGCGTCGGTCGCACGACGGAGAGGAGAGCGTTGTATGACAAGCCTATTACGAATGGTCCAAAGGATCCAGGCTAGCACCCCAACACAAAGCCACCTAATGTGGCGGTGACGGGGGGCAGAGGCCTGAATCTCCGCCAGCAAGTTGGGGAAGTTGGTGTTACACCAAGTTCCTCCAACCACGTCGCGGAAGCAGGACCAAAGGAACTGGGCGGTCATGCAAGAGAAAAAGATGTGGTTAGCATCTTCGGCTACGCCACAGAGGGGGCACATGCCATCGCCAGGCCCGTTGCGCTTTCGCACCTCAACTCCAGAGGGCAAGCGACCACGGATCCACTGCCAGAGAAAGATCTTGATCTTTAATGGGAGGTGGATATCCCAAATCAAACTAAACGGCTCCGGAGCCGTAGATGGGGCAATCACATGATAGAGGGACTTGGTCGAGAAGCGGCCCGAAGACTCTATTCGCCACAAGAAGGAGTCCTTAGCGTTGCTCACTGTACATGTCAGGCTTAAGATAAGACTATCTTATTAAGAAAAAAGTCCATTTTACTACCCTGAACAAAGTTGGTGGTTCACATTACCCCCTGATCTTTATTTCGGTTCCCTTTACCCCCTGAACAATCCCAAACCGGACAAAAGACCCCCTTGGGTGGTTTGTCTCAACATGCAGCTGATGTGGCGCTGGTCAATGGTGGTTTTGACCTGTGGGTGGGGCCATGAGGATTAACTTAAGTGAAACAGGAAATTAGCCCATGGTTAATTAGGAAATGGGACCCGCTTGGCAGTGACTCAGGGGGCGCTCGGTGAGGAAATTAGCCCTCGAGGCGGCGCTTGATGTCGAGCAGATCGCGGCGGAGGTTGTCGTCAGTGGGGAACCGCGCGTCGATGGCCAGGAACTCATGGGCTGCGGTGGCGGCGGCCGCGAGGTCGTTGGCTGCCAGGGCGTGGCGCGCAGTGTCGAGCGCGCGGGAACAGTCGAGTGCGGCCTCGACACGGGCCAGGGCGGACTCGTGCGCGAGTGCGCCGCATCGAGGTGGCGGATGCGGGAGGAGAGCACCTCGGTGAGCGCGGCGGTGGAGGAGGATGACTCCCTGAGCGCTGTGGCGTTGGAGGCGGCGAGCGGGAGGAACGGCGGGGCAGAGCGGAGCAGGGAGGCGGCCGCACGGTCGAGGTCGGGGCGGTGGGCGAGGAGCGCGTTGAGGCGGGCGTCGAGGGTGCGCTGGTGGGCGACGCACTCGTGGAGCAGGCGGGTCGCGGCGC